GATAATTTAAAATAAAACAATTGAATTAGTATAAAACAAATGCCAAAGATAAGTTATATTTTGATTTTGTCATTTTTTCTTGTTTGTATAATAGCGTAGCAAAGTGTTAAAGACCAATAGATATTAAAGGTATTCTTTGAGATATTTGACATTTCCGTAACACGATCAATAAAAGAAATCATTTTTTAATGACAGCTTTAACAAAAATAAACCGTTTTAAAAAGTAAAAAACACTATCAAAAAGTTAAAAAACACTACCACCATGATTTGGTGATGTTCTTTAAGCAATTATAAAAACCCATAATTTGATTTTTGTTGGCTTGCGAGAGTATGAAAAATTAAAAGTATGTTGCTACTATTTTTTCTGTTTTTTTAATGCTCGTTGGTAAGTATTTGTTATTGAGTTTGCACTTTGACCAGATTTTATGGAATTTTTGCCTTGTTTGAAAGAAAATCTTTGACAAGAAATGTGGTTGGGAACAAGTTGGAGCTCAAAAACTCTACGCTAATCAAAGCAAAAACATCCAATAGGCAACCCTATCTCAAATACTACTAATCCTCATATTTTTACTGATCGCCTAAATTCTAAATTCTAAATTCTGTGTTTTAAAGCGCTCTATTGGATTAAATACGCGTTAGAAAGCTTTATTGTAAAAAACCAATAATCGCGTTTGATGCTATTAGCGGGTTTTTAGTAATTTATTCTATTGGGTTAAACATTAATTAGTTAACAAGTTATGCTTATGCATTTTCCGCATAGTCGTTATTAAAACCATCACAAGCGTATATGCCTTTCAAATCTCTCTTAATCTCTTTGTTTTCCAGTTTTGCTTCTTTTTTTTGTTCCGAGGTATGAAAAGTAATGATAACTTGGTAAAAATGTCATTGCTACACGTCACTTCCGGTTCTACTTTTCTTAACCCTTCTGAAAATTCTACCCCCGAACAACCATCACCCAATAACCTAAAAAACTTATCACCTGAACATAAAATTTCTTCCCATACTTCTTCGACTGTATCAGCAGATAATGAATCTTTTGAAAAAAATCAAAAACCCAACCTTGATTATTCTATAGAAAACCAACTCGACTTGGATACCAACCCAAATAACATTCAAGTAGACACTGGATATGACTCGCCTCAAATCAACGGTGACAAACAAAAGGTAACTCCTGTAAAAACTTCCAACTCATTCTGCATTGTAGGCTTTTATTTTTATATCGTATTCTTTTGTTCTCTTAAATAGTCTCTAATATCTTTTATCTGCTTTTCTTTTTTTACACTAACCCGCTATTTTTTTTATTTTATAGGATAAAACTGCGAGACGAATCGCATACTTGTTTGAACAAACTGAGATATTTGGCTATTTTGTAGCTGATCTCATTAAAAATGACGAAATTAGAGATAAAGTTGCTGAATATAGACTAACCATCCAAGCTCAAAAAAAATCAAAACAAAAAATTCTGCGCCATAGAAAAACTGAAAAACAGGAAGATGAGGAACTTATACATGGCGAAATAAATAACGAGCAGACTATAGTCAATTTCTCTAAAACTCCTTATTATGTCAAATCAGGTCAAATGCGTGACTATCAAATTAGAGGCTTAAATTGGATGATTTCTCTGTACGAAAATGGTTTAAATGGAATTTTAGCTGATGAAATGGGATTGGGTAAAACTCTTCAAACTATTTCTTTTCTGGGATATATGAAACACTATCGCAAAGTTAACGGTCCTTATTTAATCGTTGTTCCAAAAACAACTCTTTTTAATTGGAAAGCAGAATTCTCTAAATGGGTTCCCTCTCTAAATGTTGTTCTTCTTCATGGTGACAAAGAAATGCGTAAAAATACTATTAAATCGCATTTATATGATGAAAGTCTCGAATGTCTTATAACCACATACGAAATGTGTCTCATTTGCAAAAATCAACTTTCTAAAATTAACTGGAAGTACATTATCATTGACGAAGCGCATAGAATAAAAAATGAAAATTCTTCACTTTCTCTTATTTTAAGATCAATTAACAGCGATAACAGAATGCTTATTACTGGAACTCCTTTGCAGAACAATTTACATGAGTTATGGGCTTTGTTAAACTTTTTACTTCCAGACATTTTTGAATCTGCAAATAACTTTGATGATTTTTTTAAAAGAAAAAGCTTTAATAATCACAATGATAATTCTACCAATACATCAGATTTAAATGAATCAGAACACCTTACTAATCACAAAATTGAACATATTACTGCCGAAGACTCCTCTAACAATCAACCCGATAATGATAATGTAAAACAGCTCAAAAGAATCTTGGAGCCTTTTATTTTGCGCAGAATCAAATCAGAAGTAGAAAAGGCTTTACTGCCAAAAAAAGAAATTAATGTTTATGTTAGTCTTACTCCAATGCAAAAGCAATGGTATAGACGTATTCTTGAGCGTGATTTAGAGGCTGTTAATGGAGTAATAAAAAAGAGAGATGGTAAAATGCGTTTACTTAATATTGTAATGCAACTCCGAAAGTGCTGTAACCATCCCTATCTGTTTGATGGTGCCGAACCAGGTCCCCCATACACTGAAGGTGAACATCTAGTTACAAACTCTGGTAAATTCATTATTCTGGACAAACTTTTAGCTTATCTTAAAAAAAACAACATCAGAGTATTACTTTTCAGCCAGATGAGTCGTGTTTTAGACATATTTGAGGATTACTGCCATATGCGTGATTATGAGTTCTGCAGAATAGATGGAAATACTAGCCATGAAGACAGAATAGAGGCCATAGATACTTTTAATGCTCCTGAAAGCTCTAAGTTTATATTTTTATTAACTACTAGAGCTGGTGGGCTTGGAATAAATTTGACTACTGCCTCGGCTGTTGTATTATTTGACTCGGACTGGAATCCTCAAGTTGACTTACAAGCCCAGGATCGCGCTCATAGAATAGGTCAAACTAAACAAGTGATAGTATATAGATTTATTACAGAAAATGCAGTCGAAGAAAAGGTTTTGGAGCGTGCTATGCAAAAACTGAGATTAGATCAGTTAGTTATACAAAATACAAATCAAACACAAGCATCAAATGCGATTTCTAGAGACCATCTCTTATCAATGGTCCAGCACGGTGCAATGGATATAGTTTCAGATCCTAACTCGTCTACAAATGCTAAAGATCTAAATGGTACATCTAATGCAGACGATGAAATAGACTTGGATCTTTTTTTAAAGCGTAGTATTGAAAAGACATCCACTATACAGTCTAAATATTCGACAATGAATTTAGATGAGCTAGTTAACTTGAGTGGAGGTGGACAAACTTATGCTCAACAATATATGAATAATGGTAAAGATGAACCAAATGAGGATCCTAACCTGCTTTCTAAATCTTTATCAAGCGATTCAGTTAACAAACTTGAACCCAGCATTCCTAAAAACTTAACGGGATCAGGAATTACAAACTCAATGCTTTGGATTCAACCAGCTAAAAGAGAAAGGAAAATAAACTATTCCGTTGATGACTATTATAAAGAAGCTTTTAGAGTTGGTAACAAAACTCCAAATACATCAGAACTCAATAAAACACCCAGGATGCCAAAACAACCCACATTATATGACTATCATTTTTATCCTAAACGTTTACATGAATTGCTTGAATTAGAAAGAAAAGTATTCTTATCAAAAGCTCAAACTAAAGGAATAAGCAAAAGGTCTAGCAGTCCCAATAAAAGCAACACAAGTCTTGACTCAGAATCCGGTTACGATAAAGACCTTGGAAGTGAAACAGAAGAAAGTGATAACAAAAAAATGAAAATAGATCAAACAGAAGATAATAAAAAAGAGCTAGTTTTCACAGCTGAAAATCAAAAAGAAAAAATGGAATTACTAGCAAAATGCATTAACAACAACGACCATGGAAATCCTAAATATGGCTTTCCAAATTGGTCACGCAGCGATTTTTTTGCACTATTGAAATTATTAGAAAAGTATGGAGATACTAATCCCAATTTACTTTATAATGCAATAGATGGAAAAACTGCTACTGAGGTTAAAACTTATTTAAAAGTATTTTTTGAAAAATATGAAACAGAACTAGAAAATGTTGAAAGAGTAAAAACAGCTATTTCCAAAGGTAACCAAAAATTAGAGCAAATGGTAAAATCAGAAAAATTAATAGAAAGGTTTGTTAAGTCTGTAGCAGACGTTTTTAAATGCAAACCCGAGAATTTTGATTATTTATCATATCTCGAGTTCCTTACATCTAGCCCAACTTCCAAGATTGACTTTAGATTTGGATATTCTAACCCTAAAAATAACAAAAAGTTTACAGACATAGAAGACTTTTTTATTCTTTTTGCGCTGAACGAATTGGATATATTAGATGATGATGTTTTCTTTGATCTCCAACAGATTATAAGAAGTTCTGAACTTTTTAGATTTAATTGGTTTATAAAATCTCGCACCCATTATGAGCTGAGCAAGCGCTTCCAATCTTTAATTACAAGTCTTAATAAATACTACAATACTCCTACAAATGATGTAACAAAAGATCCTAGAGATATTTTTAAAAAAAGATTATTGGCACCAAAATAGTTTGCTGATTTTTTATTTATTAGCTCCAATAGAACTGAATTTTATTAAAAGCTATTATTTTTTATTTCAAGATAAGTGCCTCCTACATGGATTTAAATATTAAATCCTATATGGATGTTTATTTTGGTAAATTTCGATCGAGTATATTAAATATCTAGTTGTGAAAATAATAATAAATATTTTAATTCATAATTTAAATTAAAGGCCATCTAAAATAACTCTTTAGTAAAATTCTAATATTTAATCTACCAGTAATATAAAATTAAAAAAAAAAATTTGTCATAAATGACCAATAAGTGTCAGTATCAAAAGTATAAGATTCGTTAATTTTTTTTATTAGAATAAATGCAAAAAAATAACCAATAGTATGTATTTTATGACTAAATAATTAGTAAAATAAAAATGTTAAAAGTAACGATCACGGTGGGACTCGAACCCACAATCTTCAGATCCGAAGTCTGACGCCTTATCCATTAGGCCACGCGACCTTAAAAATAAATATTTTACTACTATATAATAATTATTTAATCACCTTTTTTAAATATTTTGTTATAAAAGTTTATTTTTTGTTTTTCGTTTTATTGGAGTATAAAAAGCATATTTGTGCAAATAAATATTTACACTAATGAAACTGTCGAGATTAATTTGTAATTTTACTTATACATTCAATTGACTTAAATTTATTCTGCTTGTATTTAACGTAACAAGAATAACAAATATTATAAATTATATAATTATACATTTTTAAGTTCAGCTAGCCATATTGCTTGGTTTTAGGATTTTTAAGCACAAATTAAAAAAAAAAATTTATTTTGAAGAGT